TCCTATTTTCTTTGCTACAAACTTTTGTTACATTATATATAATCATCTTCTTGGAAGAGAACTTTTTTAGTTGGTTTCGATAAAATGAAAGATAATTGTTGTTACTTATACTGGTTCATAAACAGTGCTAGAATAGGGCAGATGATTTGAAATTAATTGGTATAAGTAATTATCTTAGTATATGTTTGCATTCTCATGGTTCAAGACATATTTTTAACATATATTGTGCTTTTGAGGTTGGAAATAGATATTGTTGTTCGAAAACTTCTTTAATTCTCCCAATATAGGATAAGCTTCAAGTTACGGCATCTTTTTTTTTCCCCACCTCTTTGAACATTCAACATCTGACATTTGATACCTTAATATGTATGTACTGAAGTACATTGCTTTCTTGGAACATGTTTTTTTAATCTTCAGAAAACATTCTGTAGCATGCATACAAGAAACGGTCCAAGAACATTGAGATTGACATCGAAGAGTACAATAAATGAAAGAAGCTGATCAAGAATTCTACAGAGAAGCTTCAAGCTCCAATTTTATGGAAAGCGTAATGGTGAGTGGTTTAATTGTAGGAAATTGTGTTTTCTGGCTATAAATGGTTCATTTAGATTGAATTTGAACAGAACAAAAGACATTCTGACTTCAGCTAATTTTGACAGGACCATCGGGGCAAAGTTGCCAAAGGACAAAGATTGAAAGGTTCATGGTGATTTCGTTCGGACTCAACGTTCGACAGAGATGACGAAGCCGGAGGAGGAGGTTTCATATGAGAAAGATATTGATTCGGATCAATTTGACGCACGTAATGACATTTTCAACTAAGAAGATTGAGTGAGCCTTTGGAGATCGAAACCCGCTGACGCAATGAACATTGAATATAAGTTACCTTGATATACGATGACACCTGTTCTTCTTTTTCCTGCACCCAGGTACTTGAGGATTATATAAGGAACCATCTCTTTTGTCTTATGTTAGAGGCATGCTCCTTTATTGTTTCTGTGATTTCTTAGGGCAATATGTTTACTGGCATAGGGGGTGGATATGTGGATATCGACTCTATTTATGATGGCTGAAATTTCAAGTTTAACTCTATGGTTAGGAATGACTGAAGTGAACTAAATTAAAAAAGCACTGAATTTCTCGATAGGAACAGATAGATAACTAATTATTGGGAGGGTTTTTCTTTATTCTATTGTGCCAATTGTGCTCCTACTGTTCTATTATCATCACATTGTCTGATTTTTCTATTGCTTTTTTAGGGCTTTCTTAACTTGTCAGCCTTTTTTTTTTAACATTTTTTGCCGGTTTAACACTTCTGTACCCAGCATTACATTCTAAAAGGGGAGAAACAGTTGCTGCTGTCCAAATTCTTTTCCATTTTTAAAAGGAACAAGGAGAAAGCCATATCACAGCAACAATCTGAAATACTTTCTTTCTGTGAGTGGCAGATGCGTTGTGTATTGGCTGGTGTCACATACAATGATCATTACTGGTAGCTTTAGTGAGAGATTATAAAGTGATTCATGAATATTATGTTTATATTTTAAAATGTTTGGTTTTTCCTTCCCTGTACTGGTGACTATCTAGGTTATAAAAGATCTGAACTATATGCATCCTTGAACCCTGCCATCAATAGCCCTAACTTCGAAAAGAAGATGAAAATGCAAACACACAGCTGCCATTTGAGCATTCAACGCAATTTAGAGGTGACTGAGAGGCCTCTTGCTGTGAGAAAAAGGTATTTGGAGTGCATGGCCTTTACGGCGGCTAGTAAGAGATGGATAGTTCCAATGGCGGCCTCAATTAAATGGAATTCCTTGTTCCATGCATTGTAAGTTTAAATGAATTGATCTATTTTTCCCTTACTTATTTGTGTTTGAAAATTGTTTAGCATGCACGCTATATTTGCTTAGATTTGCAAAATTACAGAATAGGTAAACTCGGGATGGTATACATATATTGGTAACTATTTTGTTCCCTCCAAAGCATTTGGACTCAAACAATATGTTTTTTTATTTTTAATTTGTTTAAGTGATTATAATATTTTTGGCACCGGTGTTTTATAAGTAGCGGAAAGATTGAGGTAGGGAAAAACCCGCTTTTCTCTATTGTTCCTTGTATTTATAGCTTTATGTGTTCTTTGTTGATATGCTTGTTTTTGTTTTTATTCTTGCATGTAATTAAATGTTGGTTTCTGTTGTAGGGGTCGCCACCCCTTTCAATCTTCCACTTTTAACTTCAGGCTTCGTTCTCTCTTGAATGCTTGCAAATATGGCGGATGGATCACAGCATCCATCTAATTTTTCCTAGAAGACCACCTCGGCTTACTGTCGGTTATTTTCTCTTTACTCTCGAATTTAGGCTCCTTAACTTATGCGCATCGGGTCTCTCGGTGTTGACATTTCGGTTTACAACGGATATTTGACTTTGGCTGGGATAATGTAAACTGGAGGTCTATAGAGTCCTCTGACCAACATTTCATGGCACATAGGGTCTCTTGGAATTTGCATCAGGCACTCTAATTCGGCTCGGGTGTTTATTGTACTCAAGCTCCGAGAACAAAAGGTCTCTCTCGTAAGTTTTTATTTGATATAAGACTTCCTCAATGAGAGCGAGTTTCTGCTGCTCTAATAATCCAAGAGCTGCTTTGCTCCAGCTCCGGGTTTTTTATATAGAGTCTCGAGTTTAAAGGGCTACCTATTGATTTCCAGAACCTACGAATAGAGATGAGGTCATAAACGCCTGGTCGGTTTCAATTTTCTTATTTATTATACTTTGTCCAGCTGTCTGAACCATACAAAGGACTTATGCTGACTGCTTTTTCTGCCCAAACAATTAGGATGAAGTGCATTTCTAAACTTTTTTGCTTTGTGGAGAGCAACACTACCAACTGTAACCATGGAGTATTTTCCACCAGGTTAGCATCTATTATCATTTATGGTTTTATATTTTTAATCCTTGCATTATCTTTTGTCTTTCGTTTTTTCTGCCCTCGATTGTATGGCAGTTATGTGTCCACAGTCCAAAACTCTCTTCCACAACCCTTGCCCTCATCACATGAAATTTGGCTGGTACAAACCCCATGTGAGTGTACATATATGTGTCCTCTTTGCGGTGGAACAAAAGGGATGGAGGGTTGACATCCTGAAATTCTGAAAGGAAGTGTGTCTAACTTTATCCTGGATTTTTGATTTTTAATTGGTCCTCATAGCTTCATCCTGTCAGTATTTGGAAGTTTTTGAATTAAAAATGCTGCTAGTCGATGTGATTCATTAAGTTTCCGTTTTGATTTATCATTTGTTGACAACCTGTCTTTGTTTTTTATAGAACCGTCTCACGAATTCTCGCAATTTTATCAATCCTTTTCTTAGGCCTGAATCCTTTGCTATTCAAAGTATTTATTTAAGAGGTGTTTAATTTCAAGAGAGACAAGGATGGTTACTGGAAGTGGTTTTTGCCGGGAGATTTTGGCGTCAGGTGCTGCTGCTGGTCGCTCTCATCCTTCTTTTTTTAGTTTATTGCCCCTTGTTCTTATTGGCTTCGAAATAATCGTTTGGACTAATGTGCTTAACCACAGCTGCTAAAGATGTTCAAGAGTGTGGAGGAGGATAGTTTATACATGGTTTTAAATTGATGTTTGCAGCCTCAATTAACTTAGGTGCCTCGCAAATATAGTTGGATGATTTCCAAAATTCGACCACTGGTTTATTATTTCCAAATACGTAATGTTCCATTATAGACTTTCCTGTCTCTGTGAAAAGGGGTGAA